GCAGTGTAACTCTTCTACTAATAAAAGCCCTGAAATGTAAATGTATTTGTACAATAGAATTGTTTTGCAACTTTTTGCTTATAATGTATAATGTTTTACACATTATTGATGTAATCACAATAGTAACTAGAAGATGATTGTGATGGCTAATTAGATGTTATAGCCAATTTTTACAGAAAATGTGTGACTTATTTTTCCATGGAAATTTTCCCACCAAATTAGGGTAGTTTCTACTGGAAAATGTACAGCACAGACACAAATGTATCTAATGTAAATTATCATTTTCTAAGTATTCCTTTTCCTAGAAATTTCCCAATTCAAAATTTTCTGGAAAAGTCATAGCACCAGTTTTGCAGTGGGTGTGAGGCTCCTGTTGACATGTCTTCCCTGCAACTAGGCTTAATAAAGTGAATATATGCATCTATTTTGTTATGAAATTCTGGAAAAAAGCGTGGAAGGGGGTTGATACAGTTTGGCAGCATCTGTGTGTCCTGCTGTCCATTTGATTAGACTGACATTTATTAATGGACATTGTATATTGTTATTGTGTCTAGTAATTCAAAGTGGCTGAAGGGATTAAACTATGATGAAAAGCTTGGCATCTATGAAAACAGAAGAACACCTTTTCTTTCAAATACCCTGTAACAATTTACATTCTCTTTTAAATTAAGGATTACTTCAAATGGGATTTTTAGTGAATATGTTGGTAGAGTAACTGTCTTTTTTATGTATCTGTTATAATATTTTAGTTATTCTTTATTCTACTAGTTGTATGGATGGTTTAGATTAATTTTGAAACATACCTTCTAAGATACATTGAAGGCAAAATGTGAATTCTTACTTGCCTGGCACAATTGTATGAAACATATATACTTAGTTTAGCTAAATTGATCTCCATTTTTCTCTTCCTAGCATTTGCATTTGCTGGTGTGTTCCTGTTGTTGATTAAATAAAATATCTTTCAGGATATTTCTCCATTTTATTGGATATTTAATTATGCAGAAATAATCGCTACACAAACAAGAAATTACAGATTTCTACATTTCTTGAAAATTGATTTTCATATTTTGTTCTTTAAAGCTTCCTTCTCTCACCTGCTATATTGCAGACATTTTTTCACAGTTCCATTCCATGTGACTACAGAAGGGCTCCACTGTCCAGAGTACTCCCTAGTCTTATCAATACTTTCTAACTTGTACATATTTTCATACCCCACATTTCTATTCAAAACACTATTATTTTATTCACTGGATGAGTAGTATTAATCTCAATAACTAAGCTGATACTACAGATAAAAATGTGTGATGATGAGAAGTTCACATGAAAGGCTGAGTTTTGTGCTGCTGCTGCTGCTCCATCTGTATGGATGGGTGGCGTATAGCCTAATCTGTGAAAAAAATTCTGCCCCAGGTGAGAATATCTTACTGTTTCAAAAGATATTGGTACTATAAAATAGGATATATAAACATGATACAAGGCATCAGTATGCTGATGATACTCAATTATATATCTCCATCCTGGGTGACATAAGCGATGCTGTGGCTACCCTTTCACGGTGCCTGGAGGGTGTAGGGGCCTGGATGGGGTACAACAGGCTTCAACTGAACCCTGGCAAGATGGAATGGCTGTGGGTACAGGGAGCCTCAAGATCTAGGAGCTTATCATCTTAGGTTCTTGACAGGGTCACACTACCCCAGACAGGCCCGGTGCATAATCTGGGGGTCTTCTTGGACTCACAGCTCCTGTTCAAAGAGCAGGTGGCAGTCGTGGCTAGGAGGGCCTTTGCACAACTTCGTGTTGTGCAGCAGTTACACGCCTTCCTCGATCGGGAGGCCTTCCGCATGGTCACTCATGCCCTGGTCACCTCCTGGTTGGATTACTGCAATGCGCTCTACAT